TGTAAGGACTGCCGCCGCACGTCGCAGTGTCAATCGACACTGACACCTGAGAGTGAAATGAACGTTTTAGTAACGTTTCGGCTGAGGCGCAAGCCTTCGTCAGCATGGATGTACTACATGTTACCGCATCATGAGTAAGTAGACGTGCACTAAGTGCACTGCACCGCAATCGGAATATATGCGCATCAAGAACAAATCAGTGGTGCATGGTGGACAGAAAACTCCACGGTGAATTACAAGAGCAATATTAAGTATATGGCGTTAGACAAGAAACCTTGTACTCGCGCCTAAGGTGCGCACGCACAATGTCAGCTATTTTGGAGAAACATGACAACATGTGGACGCAAAGCAAGCACTCAAACGTTTTTCCTGAGCCACTCCGTGCTATGTATGGGTGTTCTAAGAATTCGCAGGGCATTCTTATTTCCTCCAAAGTACGTATAATAATTATATTTCATCCGCTGGTTTCCTCTATAGCGGCAATCTTTAACGCAAGGCACGCGCAATAAGATGAATATCACTGCGGCTAAAAGCGCCGCCAATGATTTCAGCTTGAGAATTCGTAGTGAGTTTTCTTGTGAGACAGATCATGTGGTTTATATGCTTGAGTGCTCCATTTGCAAGTTGCTGTGTATCAGTCAAACTAACAATGCATTTTGGTACCGGTTCGATAATCACAAGGCGCACATGCACTCTATGCTTCAGCCGATATCTAGACACGTTAACAATCGCGCATGCCTTCAAATCATTTAGGACGGCGATAATGAAAGTGGGATTCACTTCACAGTATAAGAACAAACTGCGCGAGTAATTTTTATTTCACAAAATGAAAGCCGCTTCTAGGAGCCTAAACGAAAACGCTGGTAAATTGTCTTGCATGTTTGCATATTAAAGCACCATTTCCAGATTTTGTCACAAAAGTGTTCTTTTTTGTTGTCGTTTGTTGTATAATTTTGTTCGCAGAGTTTAATCATTTAATCAATTACTATGTACGTTGGCACGGCGCTGTCAAATGCGATAAGAGCTATGTCTCCAAGTATCTCATTGCACAGCGGCGCGGTTTCTGTGTGGCCACCAAGTGCCTATAACTTCTTTTTGAAGTGCATAGAGCCTGATTGGGGTGCACTGCGCCCTATAGTTTACATCCTCCCACATCTGCAGGGTGCGTTAGCTAAAATTGCCAAGTAATGGAAAAATATATACATGAGCACTACACGTCTCCAATTAGCGCAGTATGCTTCAGAGCCATATAGAGCATGTCAGAATATTTTCGTAGTCCGCCAAGCTGCGCAATTCACAAAAATTGTCTAATGAACATTCTAATAGTGACTCTAGAGAAAAATCTGCAATCCGAAATTTTTGGCGCCTAAACGGAAACAATACAATTTTTATTGTGCGGTAAGACAACTGTACTGCCTAATTTTTGTCAGTCTCGGTTTAAAGTTCACGACATCAAAACATTATCACATCTGCGCGGAAATAACATTACAATTATCACCTTACAGCCTAGCCATTACATTGTAGGTTCTCTGGTAAGCCATAAGTTGATGTTGATGTTTCGAACTCTTGAGAGCGGAGCCACAATTTCGTTTTGCGAGGTCCTTGTCCTCCCGTAACTAGAAACACTGCCATAGTAAGTGCTCGAGATTGCAAGTTCATCCGCAGCGAGGACTTCGTCAGCTTAAGTTATTTCGAGATGGACCGTGTATGAAAACCAGATTAGGATAGGAAACTGTCTTTACCATTTTAAGGGTGCCTGTGGTCTCATATGCTTTCTGTGTATTGGTTGAAGTAATCTCCTTTCAAGGCAAAGGTGCTTCGTGAATTCAGTAAAATTGAACAACGTGTATCGAAACTCTTGGACACTGAACTATGACAAGGCTTTTCCTTCTACGTGGAGAGCTAGTATGCGTGCGTGGGAGTTGGCGATGTCGCTGGGTTTGGTGAGTGAGTCGAAATTTTGGCATATGTGTACCGGAGACCAAGTGATCATGTGTATAATTATTGCCCTGTTGTTTAGAACGTCAAGGAGCTCATGCTCTATGGAGCTGAAGGCGACCAGTCTGACTGCCGATCTAGAATCATTTGCGTTTTGTTGCCATCTAAGAGTGCCAAAGCAATAGCAACCTGTTCCGCTTTAAATAGCTGGCTCCTGTCATGGAAGCTGATGAGGTGATGTGATCTACGGAAAAGTAAGAGGAATGCCGATATTGTGCCATATCGACAAAGCAAACCGTTTGGGAATCACCTTTTGAGCAACCTTTTGATAGTTGATTGAGCAACTTTTTGAGCTCAATAAACTATCAAAACAACCTTTTGAGCTCAAATTATTGAGCAACCTTTTGATAGTTTGCTGAATGAGGGTGTTTGGCTTCGTTTTGTCGAAACTGTGCCAGTTTTGCATGGCCGCTACATAGATGGTCTCACCCACGAGGAAAGCGAGGAAAAGTCTGTGTGATTTTTTTTTATTCCAAGCCTCCTCTTCTGTTAGACAGCCTACTGATGAGCCTGATAGCCATTTACATTTTCCTGTTAGTCCTATCTAACGTAAACCCATTGGGCACATGACAACAGAAATTTTGAATAAGAATCTGCAAGAGTACGTTCGTGCCATGGGAATGGCGCTAACAAAAGCACGTTTTCTAGTTCGTACCTTATAACTTACGAACAGCACCCACTCGTGAAATGCAGATGACTGTCATATATTAGAGACGTTTTTGTGCCGCTCACATAATGATTCACATACAACACTTCGTTCTCTTTCCAAAGACTAAAGGAAGTTGAAGTTTTTTGAATGCAGCAATAAGTCTTCAAAAGCAAAAATGAGTGTAGTGCTGTTGCATATCTCTCTCACAATCGACACCTCAGCGAGTGCTTCGCCATGAGGGTCCTCTTCTTCAAATCAGACTTAAGCATGCAGTATTCGGCTGCAGAAAAGTGCAGCTGCTAAAGCGTATAAAAAAGCCCTTCAGGAAATCGAAGAGAAAAGGTGCGCGCTTAGTTCGTTGCATATAGAGATTGCAATCCCACTAATACGCTTAAACACCAGTCCTGTGAATGTACAATCTGCTGATTGCTTTTCTGCGAGATATATAGCTAAAGAACGCATAAACGGATCAGGTGGAAGGATTGCCGCGGCTATACCTAGAAATTCTAAGGGGTTTCTTTTGGCGCATTGGAGATGAAATTGGGTGAAACTTGTACAGCGGCAGCGTAAAATGAATAACAGATGAGACAGATGGCGGGAGCGCATAAGCATTATGCGCGGCGCTCTTCCCGAACATGCCACTAACAATGACACCACGCTCAAGGAGGAATAAAAGAGGAAGGACAGGGAGGTTAGCCAGTTCTCAGACCGGCACCACGCTCAAGCCAGCTGCAAAAGTCAATAGGGTGGGGTCGGGGGACAGCAAGCAGGCCATCTTAGACGGGAAGACTTCAATGCTAGTCGAGATTTTGTTGCTGCAGTTATCAGTCGCTTGTGATTACATGTTTACAGCAGAATTTAATGTATGAGCAACCCAAAAGCGCAGCTGACTGTATACGTTTCCATCTTCAGAGGCTTGTCTAAGTTTTTAATCTCGCCTGTACACTTTTTTGACGGCTTGTTGGTCTACAGGCAGAGAGTCTTATTGCGTTCTGCGAAGCTTTAACTCAGAGACAAACATGTTAGAGATCAGACCAGTGATAATTGGCACAATGTTTTTGTCGGCGTTCGTGACAGTAGAGATTTCCGTCGTATTGTTTTTGTTAGCATATCTTTTGACGCCATATAGAGCACTGGCACTTTGTCTCGGCCGAGTATACGGTGTGCACCAGCGTTATGTCGACATCAGTGTCATGATTACTTAACGATTGAGCGCATTCATTCTTTGGAGCAGCTTGTAATACTCAGCGATGACACTGAATGACAACTGTTTGTGTGCAGTATCCGCCGATCAGTGCAGACGAATGGCTTTGGCAATAAATACCACGCGGGGTGCGACACAGTTCAGACGGCACACGCTCAACATCAACGTGTTGTGACCGCCAGTAGGGGAGGGCGCGGAGTTTTCACCTCACAATTCCAATTACGAATTGTGTGCGACGCAACACCTTGAATACGAGAATGGGGGATAGATCAGATGTTTCATGTGCTACATTTCAATTTTTTTATTTCGGTGTAGCTAGAACATTAAAATCTTGGTTGACAACGTCGTGGTCCCTCTGTCGATAAAGGTGGTGGATGGCGGGGGCATGCGTGCAGTAGAGTGCTTCAGCGGAAGTCATTGTCTTTGGTGTACTTTCAATGCCTTCGGGCAAGAATGTTTGATAGAAGTGACAAATTTCGTTTGAAAAAAATATCTTCCAGATACACAGGTCATCGTAAGACAACTATGTCTTAAAATTGAAAAGTAGAATACTGTCTTTGTTTTTCTTGAAGATGATATTAGAAAGACAGACAGACCGACAGGCAAGTAGATAGATAGATAGATAGATAGATAGATAGATAGATAGATAGATAGATAGATAGATAGATAGATAGATAGATAGATAGATAGATAGATAGATAGATAGATAGATAGATAGATATAAAATCAGGCATTATTTCGTTGCGACTAGAGCGCATAGTAATACGGTACAATGAGAAATGTGTCTCTCGGCAAAGCACAGTACGCCCCGACTAAACAGTCAAATGCTCATGAATTTAAATAAAAAATATAAGTACATATCGAATGTCCCACGTAAGTAGGGCTTTGAAACATGGAGTTCAGATAAACTTTCCACATCTATTTCCATATTTTGTGCTTATTTTATATTGCAAATCTCTCTCTATAGCTTGCGCTCGTTCAGCATGATGCAAATCTTTGAATTACGCTGTCATGGACACTGCCCAAGAATTAGGCGACTGAGAATAATATAATAAAAGAAGGAGTCGGTTACCACACGTGCGCCTGTGAGAACAGTAGCGCTGCAGGGGCCTTAGCGGAATACCGGCTTTTCATCTCTGTGGGACATTGTACATAGCCGTGGGAACGGTGAAGTCCGCGTGCAGGAAGCAATGCATATGCAGCTGGCAGATTCGTGATTTCCTGCGTCTATGAGAAGGCATCGCGTCCTCGTACATGTCCTTTCGTCAAAGTATTTCCTATGCTGCAGGACGGTCTCTTTTTCACTATTTCAACATGACGGTACACTTTTTGTTTTTCCTTCTGTTGGTCGCGCTGCTGCACGAACCAGTTCATACTCACCCTCCCGAATCGACGACAAGGGACCTTGAAACGGACATTCAAAGGCTAGACGACTTTGTCGTGAAAAAAATCCTGTCGTACTCTTCTGAAATAATGTCCGCAGTCGACGTGAGCTCCGAATGTACGTCGGCACTCCTGAGATGGATCATGGCACTTAAAAGGCAAGAACCATGGGCCCTCAGAAGTAAGTACCTGCCCTCGCAATTTTCTCCTTTTTGATACTGGTGCACCCTCCCTGGCCATTACAAAATCTGAACCTCCTAATAGTTTGATTGAAATGATTCAGGGCATTTACATTAATTTTTGTATGTGTTTCTGCTCTGCATATAGGTGTGTAGGTACAGCGTAAAGCTAAACTGGTTATTATTAAACCCATAGTAAGACCTGGTAATCACATTTATTCCTATAGGAATCAATTCACAATAGCACGAGAGTAAGTGATATCTGCTGATTAACAGAATGTGGGTCGCTGATCATAGGTGATTATTCATGCGACATCTCAGGACAATGAATTCACCTTGAAGATCTAAAAACAAAGAGCGGAGGCCAGAAAATCTTACGAAAACATCCTTAACGGCCAACTGCAAAGAAATCTGAGTTAAGCAGAATCGTATGTTGGTAACATTATAACGAAAGACCTTGCAGTCGAATATTTGATTGACAATCGGGGCTCTAAGTGCATTCTTTATACCCTATGACACGGAGCTCTAGCGATGTACCCAGTCTGATCGGAACAAAAACAGAAATTACGGAAATTCCAGCCCGCTGCAGCTCATAAGCAAAACTCTCAACAGCCGCACCTCCTCCTTGTTTACGTGAAGCCCCTGTACGAGCTGCTCATTCAGACGAGTTTCAACTCTTCTCTAGTACGATGCCCACAAAACGCGCAGTAGTACAGCTGCTTCAACCTGTATGCCAGGGCAGGCACTACCTTTCACGCCTTTCTGAAAAGCGTAAAGCTGCGGGTTATCAGAATGAGGCGAGAAATTGGAAGTTCAAAACAATTCAAGCAAGTCAACAATTTTTTACGCAAACAAATTGTGCTTCGTTCGGTTTATTATAAAAGTTCTGGGTGCAGTTAGACAAGTGTTTAGAAAAATGCAGACACGCATTAGACAGTAGCATGTGCCAAACCGACCACCGGCATAAAAAAAAATGCTATTTTACCGTCCATAGACTAACAACGAAACGTGAATGTCTGAAGCGTAAATCCGCAGCACATGTGAACCAGTGACTTTGGCCGCACTGGAGTGTTTAGCGTATAATGAGATGCAATAACTCAGTATAATAAGAGCTCATGTTGTACGAAATAAAAAAAAGATTTAAGAAAGTGTATACTTGAGTGTAAGGCGTCATTTAGCTATTTCCCAGGGACTGCACAAATACACGTTTTCTCCCACACGCATGGTTTTCGATGTGGCTCTTGGTCTCTCACATGCCCCGGGGTATAGTGGCTAAGGTACACGGTCACTTACTCGCAGGTCGTGGGATTGAATCCCGGCTGCGGCTCCTGCCTTTTCATTGAAGGCGAAAATACTGTAGGCCCGTGTGCTCAGATTTGGGTGCACGTTAAAGAACCCCAGGTGGTCGAAATTTCCGGAGCCCACCACTATGCCACTTCTCATAATATTATGGTGCTTTTGGGACGTTATAGCGCACATATGAATTGTTTTTTTTTTACGTATTGTATACCAAAAGTAGCTTTCATACACCACACTGCAGAGAGTTTTGCCTAAAGCTACCGGGTCTTAATTGTTCTGACCACGACTACAGCTTAAAAAGTCGTAAAATACCGCTTTAAGCACATGCCTTCCGCTGTGTGTTCTGCGCAAAAAAAAAAAAGCTCTTCAATGTGTGCGAGACCATTTCTGAGCATGCATTTTTGTTTCCTTCACAATGTATGTTTACAGATTTGTTTTTTCGTCAACAACTAAAAGATACAAGCGTTGCATCTTCAGCGCAGCGTGATAAGCGCTACAGTCCTTAGAATGCCTTTTCTAGTAAAAAGACACACATACGCAATATTGACGTGTTTTTATGGTGCACCTCAGATATGCGCAATTATTTCTTTTTAATTGTGAATCGCACAAGTATGAACGCAAAGTTTTGAGCAATATTGGTGGGCGCTGCGGATGGGGTCGGCCGTTTAGAGTATCAAATGGTGCCCTTTAGAATAATGTTAAGGGCGGACAAACAGACCAATGTACAAACAGACAGACTGGCCAAACTTTTTGCGTCGAAGGCCCCCAAGAAAGACCATCGTCTTTAAAAAAAACCTATGGGCGTTGCCTCGATCACATACGTAGAAGCATGAAGCAGATAGTTCGGCGGCATCAGTTGGTCTGCGTCATTTCCGGTAAGCTTCAATGGATTCGTTTTTTCTAGTTTTCGTGTTCTAATAGCATTCTTGGTACATTTTTTAAACGCCTCTTGCATTTCGAAAGCGAACATATGAAGACAACATAATCTCCAGCTAGTCTGCCATAAATCAGATTTTAAGGAATGTGAAATTCAGCATGTATGTCTTTAACGGGAAGATTTGGGCGTGTTGGCGCAACGTTGCCAGAGAACGGCAAGGGTTGGAAAAAATCATCTACTGTTATAGAGATCAGCTGAGTTTTTATGGTTCCAATAATTTCCAACCTATCGATGAAAAACAAAAGAACAGACTTTTGCACTAGTTGGTATATTACGTTAAATGGAGCCATATTGCTTATAAGGTAGGGAGCTGACAGCATACTGTACTCATTGTTTGTCCCTGTATAATCAAAGCTATGGCGTTAATCTATAGTAAAAAGCAGCTACAGATTTACACACAAAAAAAATAAAAACAGCTTCCAACAGTTGGTTGTGTTAGGAAATCCTAATAATGTGGATACTGCGTTAGTGTATACTTTGCAACGTGCGTGGCTAACGTGGTGTTTTTAAAAAACGCTCTTAAAACAATGGCTTCCCCAACAATTTCTAATTTAATTTACCTTAATCGTGCGAGTTGGTTGCATTTCACACCCGCGAACTTGTTCATTGGCACTATCAAACCTTGTGTTGCCTTCAGCGGCCTTCGGCGGGCTAACTCGGTCTTCACTTAAAGGGGCCCTGAAACGCTTTTTCAAGTAACCATGGAATGAATTCTCTGGAAGAGCTCATTGCTTCACGAATTAGACGCCATAAAACTTTTAAGAATCCGTCCAGTACGAGCTGAGTTGCAAAGATTTGTCACACGCCGCAATCGCGTTCTCTCTTCTCTCGTCCCGACGAAAGCGCTGGAAGCCAAGCAGGGAGGGATGGCAGGACCACAGACAAGCGCAATGCACGCCCCGTGACCTTGAGCACTTTTTTTCTTTTTTTCCCTTTGAATGTGCGTGTTTTTCAGGGTGATTGCACGCGCACGCGTGGACAAGCAGCGGCCTCCCGCGGTGATCTCTGTAACGAGCAAGTGTGCCATGATCATGGCTGATAGATGGGCTTGCTATACGTGTGATTTTGGGGCATATTGCGTGATTTGTCGAGAGAAGAGAAAACAATTTTCAGCTTATTTTGATGATTTATTGTGAATTCCAGGCCATGTGCTGCGCTATGTTATGTGGCTCGCGTGTTGTCGGGAGCCTGTACTACCGATCGACAGAGTTTTCTGACCATGCTTAAAAAGTGTTGCAGGGCCCCTTTAATAAGAGCTAAAACGTCGGTCATACTCCTCTTTGATTTCTAATTTAGTCGACTATCTTTCAGCTTCTTATTATTATATTTATCATGTTTTTTTCCATCCCACGTTGAGTGGTTCTTAGCTTCGAGTATCGTTGTTAACTTCTGAGTTTTCTTTTATCCGTTGGTTCGGGCAGTATACAGCGGCTGTACACTTGCCGTTTTAGGGCCAGTGGTAAGTCACCTGCCGTAAATTCCTCTGCACATTCGTACACTATTAGGTAGATATGTTTTCACGAGTGAGCTCCCTTGTAGGCAAGTGGTCGAGGTATACATATATTTCTACCGACTCTATCTCCTCTTTCACCCATGCCATGATTATTTGCCTGCGTCTTTCTCATGAGCTTATTTAGTCCAACTTTATATATATATATATATATATATATATATATATATATATATATATATATATATATATATATATATATATATATATATATATATATATATATACAGTGTGTGTGTGCGTGTGTGTGTGTGACAGTTTCTCGCAATCATTAGATCTTTACGCTAAATATACCCTGTAATCATACTCACGCTTACACACCCAATTTTTTTACAGTGATTCTTGCGAACGCTTTCATCCCGAACAATCTGCTGGAGTACAGTGTTTCCAACCTTGGAGGCTACGAACAATGTTTACGAACGGTTGCGCCCACGCATGACTCAATAACAGCCATGAGAGGACAGTACTGCACCATGACTGTCAGAATTACCAAGCGTTATGCAAAAAACCTGGTGAAAAAATTCAACACAATCGGGGACCTTGAGGTAATATTTTCTTCTCTGTCTTTCTCTCGTTATCTTGGTGACTCACGAGAATCGCCCCTAACACTGATAACGAAAAAGTGGGTAATGATAATTAGGTGCGTAGCGATATTTTTAAAATTGCAGCATCATCGTTCAAGCATTACAGAAAGCCAGTGTAATTTCTCGGAACGGATGTTGCTTTATAGCAAACCGAAGAATAGCTTCGAGCCCTCGTGGAAGTTATTGAATAATGTGAATAAATAAACTCATAATTTTCTATTTTTGTGTGTAATTAAAACTAAATTTTTTCCCGACATGTTGAGGTTTTGTTGAAGCAACTGACACAAAGGGGTAAAATTATGGCGTCACTAGAGTGACTTTTCGAGGCATTAGGCATAAAAAGGGGTGCAGACACGGGTCACTCGATCAACCAAATGACAAAAAAAAATAACGAACTACAGGGAATAGCTAAAGAAATGCTTTGCATTTTCAAGCGATGTTCCAAATTGAATGCTTTGCAAATTAATGCGACTGAAACTAAAACGATGGTTTTTGTCGCAAATTTAAGCTGTATTTTTTATTTTTCTGCTATGGTTCTGAAAACATGGAATTTGTGCACTTTCAAAACACTTGGTATTTGGGTTATTGAGAGGTTGCTGTGGGATGTGCACACTAATCACGTAATCACGTATGCCTAGCTTGCTCATGTTTTAATGGTCTTTTATATTGTAATAATCATGCCCTTCCTACCAAAATCAATCTGTTCCTTTTTGAAATCTCTGTCTATGTCACAAGTTAATTATTACCAGCTTGTATGGTACACTACCATGTTCAAAAGTTTGAAAAATCTTTACGCCTTATTTACGCTTTATCTAGAGATTATCGTTCCGCAAAGCGCTTCCAAACTGCTGCTATTACAAAATTATTTAGTCTGTATAAATTGTACGCCTATATAGTTCTCTGATACTAGTAGGAAATAAAAATTATCAATGCCTAACAAAATTGCAGAATTAGCCGAATGTGTTTCTGTGTACGATTTGTGACTTATGTAAAAAAAAGAAAGTATTCGCACACCTATTAGAGTGCCCAAATGATTAGAATTGCTTTACCCTGTGTTTTAAATGTTTTAGTATGAAACACTCTTTACATATGTATGCTGTAGGTCTGAGCTTCTGTAGTTTAGCTCATGCAGCCGATATCTGCACTTTCATATGTAGAGTGGTCTTCATGAAGTAATCTGAGTCCTTATTTTTTCATATGTTAACGACTTTGCATTTATAAATGCTCCCATTATGTTTTTCTATATTTTTGTGCACAATATTTGTACTGCGCCTGCGCGAAGATAGACAGTAACAGGCTAGGAAGCCCAGCGAAGCTTTGCGGAGTATTTTCTTCCCATGCCATCGGCTCTGGGAGGTAGTCAATAAATGAAATAGTAAATAGCAAATAAACCAAAAATGCATCTGTGGAACATGCTTGATTTTCTGTTCTGCTGACCTTCTAAACTTTAGTCTTTTTGTCTTAGTGGTGGAGGATGGAAAATTGAACTGATATCGAGTGGATAACACAGCACAAAAATTATTCACTCTTCTATTGGGTTCTTCTGCTTTTCACTGTCGCCTCCTGCAACGCTCATATGGACTATGTCTACACCACGTTGTTTGACCAGTAGTTTAGTGGGTAACATGAAGTATAACGCGGACGTGGCGACCACAAACTTCAATTGTCTGGTGGAAAATGGGCAAAGGAGGTAATAACTTAGAACAAATAACACAAAATTAATTATTGCTCCTTCAGGAGCAGAGCAAGGCACAATATACATCGCTGTATGTGTCGAGAGAAATGACAGCGCTTATAAACGTCCGGCATAACTACTAAGCGTACCGGTTCGTGCGCGTCAGTATCTCTGTCGTTGCCACACTTAAGAAGAATGAGGAAGAAAATGTATAAATGAAAACAGAGCCAAGAAAAAGGAGGCTAATACCCGGTATGCCACCCTGTATTGGAGTGGGAGATAGTGAACTGGACAGAAAGAGATAGGTATGAAATGTTGATAAGACAACACACACATGCACGCACGCACGCACGCAAGCGCGCGTGCTTGAGACCGTTTCCTTTGGATTCGTTCAGACAGGCCAGTAGATAGCGGCAAGGCGTACCGCTTGAACGGCCTTGGAACATGGCGCAATATTATTTTTTTTGACAGATACCGGGTATCTAACATGTTTAGAACATTTTGAAGCGTTTGGCTCTGTGTGCAAAAACTTTGCACTTGGACCGTCTCACAAAAAATGTCGAATATTTTCTTCGTTGGCGCAGAGTTCAGAAGTGGTGGTCGTAGCCATCCCTGTGTGCAACGCGCATGATAGAGTAAACGCGACGCCAAAGCAAAACATATTCACAGAACAGTTGTTTAACCTCGACGTCCATTTTATGTTTGTCGAACGCTTAACTTGGAAAGGAAAGAGTGTTATCATGCATGCGTAAAATGTGGATGATGCGAATTTGGTGTGGTGCATTCGCGAGTGAACACACGGAGCTTTTTAGCAGTGTCCTCCCAGAAGACACCCCTTATCAAGAAGTGGTGGTTTTTGGTAAAGGCTGAACAAGCAGGTTGATCGGCCCGTTCCTTACCCATGATCCCACAGTAGCTTGGTAGCCACTGACTTGTAATGTGGTGTGCTTTCTCGCTTAGGAAGCAGAGCCTCTCTGCAGTCTCAAGCATCAGCATAATTATCATGAACATACAGATGTGCGAACAATTGTAACACGCTCTCGTATGTCATCCAGGGACGCTTTGATTTGTATGCGTTGCCGGACAAGATCAGAGGAAGAGATTACGCTTTCCTGTTGGGGATCTGTGGCCCTTCGACATGCAGTCAGGGGGACTTCACGTCACTCATTCATGCAGGTAAGCAGCTGCCATTGGCAAAATTATTTCTGCGATTATTGTATGTAAGCGTAGCGCAGTAATAGCAATAAAAGCCGTCGAACAAAGAAACGCGATCAACGCTGTTTTATGTCATTCCTTGTCGTTGCAGCCGCTTCGACATACGGATTGAACACTACAGTTAAAGGCTGCCGCATTCGGAAGCCAGTTACAGTGGCCCCCTTTCAAGCGGTGAGCATGTAAGTACAAACGAATAATAATAATAATAATACATGAACGACTGCGTACGCGGCTCGTTCAAGCGTACATACCTTGTCTTTGCACTCGACTTGCAGAAGCATATTCGGCTTCATTCTTGCGCTCGTCGTTGCCGGAACATCAGCCGATTTGCTCGCCCGAAGAACGCGGCGCTGCGAAGAGACCAACAAGTACGGTGAGAACACTCATTCTGTTGAAACGTATATATAGCAGTGTTCTCGTCAAGTTGGCGTGCTTTGGAGAGATAATCCTCAAAAAAGCTGTTACAATACAATGTACACTGGCCGTCAAAAATTATTAGGCCATGGTGCCATAGGAATACATGAGCTAGTGGCTTGGAAACTTGTGACGGCACCTGTGCATTTTGTCCGTGTAGTTGGTTTTACTTGACAGAGCGACATGCAGATAGATGGTTTCTCGTGACGATGATGATAATGACAATTATTCTTCGTACCTGCTTTAAATTTTAATTGAAAGACACTCACACACATCTGCAACCATCTATCATCCCACCTGTACAATAAACATCTCTCACCCGTAACATAATTGGTGGAGAGTGCTAGGTAACGCCTTGGAGCACCGGACAAGTACGGCGGAAGATACACCCCTGGAGCTTCACCGGAGCCGCAGACTCGCAGGACTTCCGCCGCTACCAGTCATCATGAACCCTGACGGCGAAATCCAACCAGCTGCGTTTAACACCTATGGACACCACTACAGGTAACCACACCCGTTCTCTGGGAAACCTGGAGAGGACGTCAATGAATGGCTCAAGAACTATCGGTGGGTGAGTCTGTATAACCACTGGGATACTACCGGCCAGCACAACTACGTACCACTTTTTCTTGAGGGAACCGCGTTGATGTAGTACGAGAATTATGAGGAGAATTCGACTACGAGGGCGAATTTCGTTGACGAAATCAAGAAGTGTTTTGGAGTTCCGACCACGATAAAGAAGCGTGCTGAGCAGACCCTGAGCCAACGTTCTCAAGTCCCTGGGGAGACATGTACGATGTATATTGAAGAAGTTCTCAAGCTCTGCAAGAGTGTGGACCCTCTAATGACTGATGAGGATAAGGTCGGACATCTCCTTAAGGGCATTGTGGAGGATATCTATCATTACCTTATAGGAAAGGATGACGTGAAGTCGGCCAATGAGTCATCCAACATTGCCGAACATTTGAGGCCCTTAAAGCTCGGCGCACTTCAGCAAAGTTTGGTAGACTCCCCAGCGTCACACCGGTCACAAGCATCGACGTAGGCTCTCCACCCGGCAGTCTGGCCTCAACACTACGAGAGATAGTGCGCGAAGAACTTGATCGGCGGGACGCTGCTGTGCCGTCGATAGCACATGGCCACGGTTCTTATACGCCAAGTGGCCCCCCGCCTGCGTCCATCAATGTTGCGGGCTTCGTCGACTCAAGGACGCCGGTACAGTTGCGTCGTCATGTCTATATGATTGATCCGCGAAACGACTCCGTGCAAAGGTCACCCCCCGATAGGGCAGCGTGGCAAGATTATCCCGCGGACCATCTTCAGCAGCGAGTGCGGCGTGAAGCACCTGTGTGCTTTTACTGTGGCGTTCGCGAACATATAGCCACTTCTGCTCAGAGCGGCATCGGTCACCTCTGCCACAGTATCAACGACACCCGGCATCCTTACGACGCGCAAATACTCGAAAAAACTATCACTGGCCACCCAATGGCTACTACCAAACAGACTTCCAACAGACCTTCCGCAGCGATTCGCCGGCTTCTGTGCGGAGTGTGACGCCACCAGCCTCCTCCCGCCAGCATTGATCACCATCACCAGGTCGTAGGCGTCTCACGTCTCCTCCTCCGCCGGGAAACTAGACACCGCGGCCGATAGAAATGAGGTCACCAGACATTTTTCACTGCGTACAGATATGCCTCCGCCAGTTTCCATGCTACAAAATAGGGTCAGTGTTCTTATAGAAGGTGTCCCCACGTCCGCGTTAGTCGACACAGGAGCAACTGTTTCCGTCATGAGCAGAAATTTTAAGACTCGTCTTGGCAAGAAAGGGATGTTCTCTTGGAGAAGCTGACAACGTTTCGTGCAGTGATTGATTGATTGATATGTGGGATTTAACGTCCAAACACTACTATAAGATTATGAGAGGCGCCGTAACGGAGGGCTCCGGAAATTTTGACCACCAGGGGTTCTTCAAAGTGCACCCAAATCTGAGCACACGGGCCTACAACATTTCTGCCTCTATCAGAAATGCAGCCTCCGCAGCCTGGATTCGATCCTGCGACCTGTGGGTCAGCAGCCGAGTACCTTAGCCACTAGACCACCGCAGCGTGGCGTTTCGTGCAGTGAGTGGAGAACCGTTGCGCCCAGTGGGAGTTTGTACTGCAACTATTAGTTTTGGCGCTAAATTGTTTTCGCAGATTTTGCAGTTCTTCCTAATTCTGCTCATGACGTTATCATGGGGGTAGACTTTTTGAAAGAATGTGGAGCCACTGTGAATTGCGCAACTGGCGATGTTTTACTGTCTGGTTTTTGTGAAGAGCCCACGCAATGCCAACAGACTATCGCAGTCTTTGATGACGTAGTTTTACCGGCCCAATCGATAGTTCAAGTGCCAGTGGATGTTTGTGGTATTACAGCAGATAACGTTGACGTTATAGTTCACCCAATCTAGCTGAACTGTGCGAAGAAGGCTGTGGTTGTGCCGCACTGCGTGATTTCTGCAAGTAGTGGCAAAGCCTAGGTATGAGTGGTCAACTCCTCTTTCGAGCCGATTGTACAGCCTGGTGAAATGAGGCTGGCTGTGTTTGAGTTCGACGTCAGGAGCAACGTTAACATTGTAGTCATTAGCGACGACAGGAAAAAAATAAAATACGTCTGATGTGGCTTGTCCTAGTGATGACATACTAATGGATATGGTGAATAAGTCGCTATCGCCAGAGAAGAGACAAGCATTAGTTCGGATCCTCTCCAACCATGCATCCGTTTTTGATTTCGCACTCAATAGCCGTAGATGTTTTGCACCTCCTTCACGCACTCGTCATGCGATTGATACTGGTTCCGCCTATCCCATTCGTCAGAGACCATACAGAGTATCTCCATCGGAGCGTAAAGTTATTGCTGAGCTGGTGGAAGAAATGCTGTCTAAGAAATGTATACAAGAGTCGTCTAGCCCCTGGGCAGCACCAGTTATGCTTGTAAAAAAGAAGGATGGGTCTTGGAGATTCTGTGTAGATTACCGGCGGCTCAACTCAGTTAAAAAAAAAAAAAACACGTATATCCGCTGCCCCGCATCGACGACGTTATCGATTGTTTGCACTCTGCTTCGTACTTTTCTTCCGTAGCCTTACGATCGGGATATTGACAAATCCCTATGCACTCTGCCGATAAAGAAAAAACGGCTTTTATAACTTCAGATGGTTTATTTGAATTTAACTTCATGCCATTTAATCTATGTAATGCTCAAGCCACGTTTGAGCGCTTTATGAACACAGTTCTCCGTGGCCTAAAATGGGAAGTATGTCTTTGCTATCTTGATGACGTTGTAATCTTTGGCCGCTCGTTTGAAGAACACAATCGTCGACTTGATGTCGTTCTCACGTGCCTTGAGAAAGCAGCACTTACCTTGAATTCCAAAAAGTGCCATTTTGGTGATCGTGAAACTCTAGTTGTTGGCCGTCTCGTAGATAAACACGGCGTTCGGCCTGATCCCCACCAAATCACCACAGTCAGCCCTTTCTCTCAACCACGCTCACTACGAGAACTCAGAAGCTTCCTGGGCCTGTGTTCGTATTTCCGGTGCTTTCTTCCCAGCTTCGCCGATGTTGCTGAGCCTCTTACTCATCTGCTCAACAAAGACGTACCCTTCAAGTGGACGAAATAGTGCGAGTCATCATTTTCGCAGCTGAAGCTTTTACTCACTTCTGGGCCTATTCTTCGTCATTTCGACGCATCAGCCCCTACTGAGGTTCACAGTGACGCAAGCGGAATCGGTATCAGCGCAGTATTAGTTCAGCGTCACGGCGCCGCCGAACATGTCATTGCCTACGCGAGCCGTTCTTTGAGTAAAGCTGAGCGCAAATACACTATTACAGAGCAAGAATATCTGGCAGCTGTCTTCGCCTTGCACAAGTTTCGCCCGTACATCTATGGCCACCGATTCTCCATCGTCACAGACCACCACTCACTTTGTTGGCTCACTGGTCTACAAGATCCAACTGGTCGTCTTGCACGATGGGCGCTCCGTTTGTAAGAATATGACTTTGATCTTTGCTTCAAGAGTGGCCGCCGTCACGCGGACGCTGACTGCCTATCGCGACTTCCCCTTCCCACGACTGAATGCGACGCCGACAATTTAGACGACTGTCTGACCACTATTGACTCACATTTTCCAGATTTGGAAGCGTTCCGTACAGAACAACGTCAAGATCGTAGTCTGGCTCCTTTTTTCTCATCTGCCATCAATAAGCCACATCAGAGCCCATTCGTCATGCAGGATGGCCTTCTTTACAAGCGAAATTTTGATGCAAAGGGGGCCCGCCTACTTTTGGTTGTCCCCAAATTATTGCGACCCAACGTGCTGCAAGCTATGCACGACGATCCAATATCTGGGAATATGGGGTTCGCCAAAACTTATCACCGCACACTAAAACGTTCTACTGGCCCTGCATGCGTTAGAATACAGCTAAATACCTGACCAGCTGTGAGCATTGCCAACGATACAAGAGTCCAACAAGTGCGCCACCAGGATTTCTCCATCCCATACCGCCTCCATGTTTTTCCTTTGAGGCAGTCGGTATTGACTTGATGGGCCCTTTTCCACGATCTATCACTGGGAACCGCTGGAATATAGTCTGCGTAGACCACCTCACTCGGTATGCTGAAACCGCAGCGATATCAGCCGCAACAGCCGATCACGTTTGTGACTGCCTGCTACGCTATATCGTCCTCCGTCATGGCTCCCCTCAGCCATCATCCGCGACCGTGGCCGGCAGTTTGTAGCCGACGTCGTGCAAGAGTTAATTCGCCGGTCTGCTTCCCAGTTTCGTCACGCCACTTCATACCATCCACAGACCAACGGTTTGACTGAGCGTGTCAAGAGGACGCTCAATAACATGCTCGCTATGTACGTTGATTCGAAGCATAAAAACTGGGACGAAGTTTTACCGTTTATGACCTAGCACATATAAGATAGCACATATGACGTTTATGTGCTATCTCACGCTATCGACGCGAGCGGGTTTCACTTCGCCTACAAGAGATGGCGTGACACTATTGCGGAGGTTAAAGTCTGAAGAAGTACTTAGCGTCGGTAGTTAGCGTAATTTTTCCAACCTACCACTACCAGAGTCGCATGATACTTCATCATCCGAATATCGCCGAACGTCTTCCTCGACGAAGTCAATCACTTTAGTCCTCTCGGCACGCACGTGAATATCACGTTGTTTCACAACAGCTTCACAGTCACTATCTGTATCCAAAAAATCCGCCCTGGACTTGGACCTTGTTGGGTACGAGTCTGAAACGCTTTTAAGAGCAACGACACAAACGCATGATGCGAAGCACGTTTCTAGTCGTTCATGGCGGCTCAGAATTGTAAACATCCGGCAGGAATAGGAAGAAAAGCAGGGCGCACAAAATTAGTAACGCAGGCTTGAGGTCAAATGAACCGACTTCAGGCAGAATGAAAATTCTTCCTCGATTGAGTGATCCGTAATCCGCGGCCCCTCCCAATCTGCCATTAGAATGTGATTGTTCCATACAGAGCAGAAAAACTTCCATCTGCCATAACAATTAACATTGGGATAGTTGTGCCCTGTTTCGCTACCACCAACGCCTACGTATAGATGATTCCCCCTCTCCCCTCCCCCTCCTTCCGCAATACTAATACGCCAATGATTTCACTCCCAAAAGTAAATTTTATTGAAGAAGTCCTGACGTCGCTATGCCTTCCATTCATAAGCATGTGTCGCTTAAGCCAGCGGGCCTTGGGCCGTAAGAAACCAAAGGGAATCTGCATGTTCACGTTCCTAGAGGATATCTCCGACAAGAAAGGAAATCTTTAATATACTGAACTTGAAGAGAAGCTTGGGCTAAAGGGAGGTTCCTCATTAGGTCGAAAATGAAACAACGCTTAAAATTAACGATGACAAATGAAGACTCAACAGCAACTGCGTTGCTTCTTCACCAGTCCTCGTCCAATTTAAGCATTGTTTTTCCTGCCTAATGTTTAATATAATTATGAAAACAAACAGCTTTGCTGGTCTTCCGTCATCACACAGTGACAGACCTCTCAATTTTTGCTTTTTTTTTTCATTTGTCACTGAAGGTATACCGATGGAAATTTTGCTTGCATTTTCTGCGAGAAGGAATGCACAGCGCCTTATGTCAGCTCGCTGCAGAGCAGAAACCAAACCACTACAATTTATCAATGGGATGAAGACTCTGATGTGCTTCTGGGTTATCCTCGGACATACGTACATCATTATGCAGATGGAATATTACCGTGAGTGAATTTACCCTATCCCCAGCTCTTACCTGCTAAGAACCTAACACGTGACTCATCAGCGAACCGAAAAATTGAGCAATTAGCATGCGCTCACGCCTAACAAGCAAGACAATTAATCGAGTTTCAGGTTCATTGCAGTAGACATATGTTATACACGTGGCTTGAGTACAGATTAGCACTTGAATACTATGTAATGATATCTAAAAAACAACGAAACAAAAATTTCGACATGTTGGCTGCTGAGCTGCATTTCTTTTTCACCTTTTGATTTTTTGGACACGCACTAACTCTTCAGCGAGGTTGAGGTGGAAAGATACTCAGCTACTTTATTTGTCAACAACACACTACGGCGAAACAATATATACGTATATACGTATATATGAAACGCTTTAAAAAGATAGAACAATATTATCTGAATGAAATAAAGTGACATGCCTGCTAATGAACACTCACTCATAAACCCGGGTAATAAACATTCAATGTTAGAGTGCTTGGGGACCTTCCTTCCTGTGCGAACCAGTAGTAAAACATCTTCACATGACTTATAGCTACCGGAACAAAGCTCAAACCTTCATTGCAGATTCTCTTAGACGACTTTTGGAGATCATGGACCAACTACATTTTCAGATTGTCCTCGGGACTACACTGAGCGTGTCCACCTTCTTTTTTATGAGGTAAGAAATGATACAACTCACTGTATAGCAACATATTGTGTATGACTGATGTTTCATCTACTGCATCTTGCACCCTCGGAATGGAACACAGCGGGTTTCTGCTTATGTTTATGATGCAAGACAAGCGGTCCGTAGCAAGCCGAAAAAATCCCCTCATGGTCCACTTTATGGGAACCTTCCGAAGATATGTGAGGTAAGTGACCCGACCTCTTCTACCCACTGACGCATTTTGTAATATATTATTTGAACTCACCATACCGGAAGTCTCCGCGGACATTGTTATATAGCTCAAAAAGTCGCATGCATCACAACTGTTCGCATTCACCTAAACTTTCTGCAATAAAAGTTCTTCAGCCTATGTTTGGCTTCACGATACGCCCAAGTATGACACTCGATACCCTATAGCCAGCCTTCATAGTCTCGTGGAAACTGAGGAGCAAAGCATGTTCGCAAATACCGTTGGTGCACCAGAAAATACATTACGGTAGGCAATACTCGGTAAAATTGAAGGACCTAGGATAACAATGTTTTCTTTTAATATTAGTAAGTTACTCTTTAACAATATCAGAATCATCACACTTGCGACAAGTCGCTTGGTAAGCTCAAAACGCAAAAACGGGAAATGCGGGTGGCAGCGCCCTTCTTAAGCTAACGCGCCAGTCGCCGTGACCTTATAGAATTCTACGGGCTCTACCACAGCCTCCCTAGTTCCTAATCAGCTAAAAGTGGGTTCGTTGTCTTCCGAGGGATGCAGACACTTTACACACTAACTTTCGCGAAACTTCGAAGTTCCTACTGAGGCCAAATTCAAAAAACCCTTCAAACTTCGTGATTTAACCATCCCAAAATTCAATGGGCAATGAAACTTGTAACGCTGTTGTTCTCGTCTCTGATAAACAAATAGAAGTGAAACTTACGACACCAAAGTTTTCAGAGTATAATTTCACAGTCTAAAATAATTTATTGTTTCATTTTAGTGTCCCTTTACAGCGGCCCTGTCCCAATTGTTCAAGTACACATGGAGGGCATTCACTAAAGAAGCTTATTGTATCACGAATTCACCGTCGTAAAAAGTTTGAGAATCTGTCCAGTATGAGCGGAGTTACAAAGATTTGTCGCATGCTGCAATATCATTCTCTCTTTTCTTGTCCCGACCAAAGCGCTGGAAGCTAAGCAGGGAGGGATGGCAAGAGGGAGATGACACAGGGAAAGAAAATACGTCACCAACACCTCGTGACCTCGAGCTCTTTTGTCTTTTTTTTCGCCGATACGCAGCTTTTTCAGCGTGATCGCGTGCGCAAGTGGGGGCAAGTCACGGCCCCTAGCGTCAGCCCTTGTAGCAACCGAGCGCACCATGCTCAGTTCAGCCGATGACTGATGGAATGGCTCTGACGAGTGATATAGCTCTATTTTTTTTTCGAAAGAAGAGAAAGCAACTTTACAGCGAAAGCTGTTATGAGCTCACAACTCGGGTGACGCACACTGCCCTAAGTGTCCGCCACCGCCGCCGCCGCCGCTGTGCGTAACCTCATTGCGCGAAATTAGAAAAAAAAAACTTCAGTACAAATGACACAGTGGGGCTCAAGCCCGGGTCCGCTGTATGCCAGCCCAGTATTCCACCACTGAGCCAGACTGGCGCTTGGGACTTTTTGACAAACTTGCCTTAGGCAGGCTTGATGTCGGGAAAGCAGTTGTGTTATTATGACTTATAAAGCACTCGCAAACAGCCAAATAACACGCAGTCATCGCATAATGCAAATAGCGTAACAAGTGGGTCGTACAATGCTCCAACCCATTACAAAAGCTTGTTTTTGTTCAGCCATTACTTGGGCGCATACCCACTTCAGACACAAGTCCTCATCGTCGTGAGCCACTGCATGAAATATTGGCACAAAATTCCTCGCAGTAGTTTAGCGGATACCACGCTTTTCAGAAGAATGACGAAAGCTTGCTGAGCGAATGCCCGCCTACTACCCTAAAATTTTTATTATTATTGTCGCAGTGGGCATCAAGAAAGTGTGCTTGCAGCAGTTACCCAATGAGTGCTTCGAAAAGGCTCTGAAAGGCTGCTCTTCTAGCTTTCACGGTGACTCTGCTGCACCTTCCGCGCAGGCCTGGCGTTTTTTTTTAACGGAGTTTGAGAACTTGTGAATTCGAGGCCGTGCGTTGTGCTATAATGTTTGGCTCGCGTGTGTACGAGAGCCTAGACTACCGATCAGCAGCGTTTTTTGACCATGCTCAAAAGTGTTGCCGGGACCCTATAAGAGTACTGCGATCGTTGATTCCCTGTGGCTGATCCAAAGTGCTAGCAAGAAAATGGGAACGGGAGGTGTCATGTGAGAGAGGGAAAGGGGTCATAATCACTGCTCCATGGTAAGAGGTATAACAATATTTTAAAGCGCAATTTAGTACTCTAATTAACCATAGAAGTGCTGAATTCAAATCATCGTGATGCAATAATGGTGATGCAAGAAAATGTAACGATAGTCAGAAAAAATATATATCTATATGGTTTCATCATGAATGTGCCTCTCACTGCTTACTTAGTTACATATATCTAAAACTAGCATAAACGGATGTAATGTGCGAATCGCCAACACCAAAGCCGCACGAAGGGGCTCTGAATTGTATGCAAATGTGATGGAGGCAGACTCGTGTCTTCGATATAGAAAGGTGACCTTTTCTTAATACACACAGTATTTCAGGTAACATGACTGTATTGAGCTGGCTGTCGAGAACTAATATTTCTTTCTTCACAGGCTCATATTTCCAGCCTTGGCTGTTTTGCTGGCCGCCTCACTTATTCCCCTTATGTTGGAAGGACCAGCTGACAACTTAATGTTTTTTGACCAAATTAATGTCTGCCATAAAACCTGGTGGGCCCTACCACTTCTAGTCAACAACTTCAAGAGAATAGAAGAGACAGTAAGTTTCCCTGGACCCACAATGCCACATTTCACTATTAACTAATTCATAAATGCTGTAGCAAGTGCTGCCATGTTTTGAAACAATGTCTTATCTCATAACACTATGTTTTTCATTTTGCATAACATCGTGTGTCCTGTACTTTCTTTTTAATATGGGACATCCAAAATATTTCCCTTTATATAAGCACATACGTGTACTTGTCTTTTACCTGAACTAACGAACTTAACAATTGTTGGGTTGCTTTGTTTCATACATCTGGTATTTCGTCCTGTTTCACATTAAAAGCGGAACTCTTCTAGGGCTGGGCTTGGTGACAGATGAGTGCCCGCGGTTTTCCCACTCTGGTGCCCACATGCCCTTTCACATTGTGTTTTTGCCTCGGTTGGGGACGAAGAGGTATTTCTAGATTACGTTGGCCGCAGAAGTGTGTCGGAGAGACTGTAACCAATGAGAGGCCGCGTACTTGGGTGCCATTTTTAGGCACCCCTTCCCTCGTTGAGTGTCGTCGCCATTGTCGGCGTAACCAATAGAGCGAACAAAGACATAAGAGAGCGAACGCGGAGTTTTGACATCACGAGCCACTTTCCCTAACCTCGTTTTCTTCCTCTGTCACGCGCTCTGGCCCGTCAGCCGTAGCCCGTGAGCATGCAGGGCTTGTAGGTGTACTGCGGCTGGCTTCGCTTGTCGTTAAGGGATTGTCGGCGTTTTTCTTGGTTCGGGACGCCTGCAGAGCACAGATAGGTGTGCGCTCATAGCTTCTGTGGCAATATGTAACGAATGTTTCATTGCTACAACTGCAGATAGCCAAAACTTCAAACGCAGCTGGTGTTGCCCCAACATGAAACGTGCATCCGTTCATTTAGGGCACGGTTCTTAGGCGTTCGTTTCTGCGTTGAGCCGCTTCAGCGTCGTCGTAACCAGCAGAGTGAACGAAGACGAAAGAGACCGAATGCGGAGCTCAGCGGAGTACGAAAGACGACGGTAGCAAAGAGAGCACGAGTAGGACGGAGGGAACGACAGTCGCGCGACGACTGGTTACGTGGCGGCCACTCACGGTGCCACAGTACTGCGCACCGTCGTGCTGTCGCCGATGGCTCCATCACTGAGGTGCGCGGGGAGGGCGTCCACCGATACAATTTATGAAAATAACGCACTCTGTAAGCAGAGGATTATCTGGGGTGGCTGTTGTGGAACGCGCCCACGCGCTGCCTTCCGTGGTCTCCCGGCTGGCGAGGCAGTCGCGTGATGCTCCGTCAGCGTTGGTTGATGTGAAGCGGGCTGCCCGAAATTGTCCGCGCCAGTCACCCAACTCACAGCGTGGTATGCAAAAGTGCATACATACATTCCTTTCCCAAAATGTTTGCATTTATTGCAACTTCAAAACGCCAAAACAGCTATGCTCTGATTTCGCATTAGCCAATATTGTATTTGTTAGTGAGTGTTTAAAATGTAATATTGTGTTGATAAGATTCGTTTTATTCAAATATTACTTTGCAGTGTCTCATTCATCTATGGTACATATCAGTGGATATGCAGGTGATCATATTCGTGGCATTACCTTTGGCTATTATCATGATTCAGTAAGTAGCACCATTTTTTGTTTTTTTTATTTCCCTAAAGCAAACACATTTAAGTAGACACCCAAAGAAAATGATAGCATCTACAATGAAAACTATAGATGCTCGTTGCACAGGTTATGTTCAAAAATGAAAGATAACTCACTTGCCATCCCTTCGCTTTCTAACAAATAGCTAAAAAACAGAAAAGTATGGCTGTGCGAAATATCCGCGTCATTTAAATATGTCACCCTGTAAGTGCGAATTATATCCTTTTACCAGAAAAAAGAGGCCTCACATTGACAAAAACGTACTAAGCTACAATATTCGTAGAGGAGTGTCTGAGCCGGCCAGCAAATATTCGTAAAAGAGTGCCTGAGCTGGCCAGCAAATGGCAAAACGAGCTTACAGAGGGGAAGCTTTTTGATTTGATTGCGAGGCTTCGCGTTGTTTCAGAAATTGATCCTAATGGCTATAACTAGGCTATCTGAGGCAAATATTTTTTAAAATTTTATTTAACCTAAAAGCACCTTGTACGCTGACAAAAAATCACATCGTAAAAGCACCGTCATCGAGAATTGTGAAGTGAATCTCTCCGAGCGTCACCTGCGAGGAAGTTTTTTTGTTCGTGAAATGTTTACACTAAATAGTAAAATAGTCGATAACAAAACAATTACTAGTTTTCAATATTTTATAAAAACTAATAACCAAGCCTGTCTTATCTCTAAGCATGGACAGCACGAAGCTAAACAGCCAAATTCTGAGCAAATAGGAAACGCTTGAGATGGGCATGCAGAGATTAATATTTGTGCGATTTCATGAATGCGCTCTCCACTAGTAAATGCAGCTTGAAACAGTCACATGAGCTTTTGTGAGCGTGTGCATGGCCAAGTCTGCTCACAACAATGGGCGTTGGTAGGATTTTGTCTTTGGAGGTACGAAGGCATGTTGCATCGTGATGGGGGAGTGGGCTAGCGTTTGGCCGCTTGTGTGGAAAGAAGGAGGGGCGAGAGTATGTCCTGGCGTGACTTAGGGTCATTTCCAAAATTTCAGGACATCTGTACATGGTGCAATCTTTCGGTGGCAGCAACGGCGTCTTACCATAACTGAAAAAGAAACATAAAAAAATGACATCTTTTAAATTAAGCTAGTTATCATAAATTACTCCACGATCTGTACAGCAGATACCTACTGGAACGCTTGGTAAAATTTTAGCATCACACTACAACGGGTGTGGTTTCCCAAAGCAACTGGACCTCGCCCATTCAAAGTGTACGGGACCCCATTGTAAAATGTTAGGCACTCCAGGAAGACACGCGGTTTGTAGTGTGGTACTGTAATTTTAACAGAGTATTTATTTAAGTACCTGCTGTGTAGGACTGGGAGTCACTTTTAATAACAAGATTTTTTGTCAAATATGTCTTTATTTCACTTATTTCCCACTTATTTAGACAGGCCGCCACTTTCGCCGACAAGAGATGGCGCTACGAGAAAATGTCCCAAATCCTGGCCTTGAGAAAATAAGTGCGCCTTTTGCGCCCCCTTGCCGACTCGCACGATCATAAACACTGTGCGAAATGAATTTTTTTGTGACAGATGCTTTTTTCTGGCATGTCAAAGAACTTGAACACACACCATTATCGTAAAAAAAAAAAAAAACCTTCAGTGACATGGGCTTCATGTCACCCTCGTGAGCATGAGTTCAATTAATAAACAATTGCCGATGCATGACATTTACACTTTATTAGCATCCATTAGTCGTAACCAGCTTGTTTAGCGCATGATATTTATTCAACCTTTCCGGCCTCACCATGCAAGCTTTTCGTAGAATGCGTAGAGTTCGTATATTTGTGGGATGACTGAGAGCCTTTGCGCTGTTGGCGTTTATGCATGTCCTAAATAAGTGTCGAACATAGAAAGAAAAAAATAGCACTCCGCAAAAATGGTCACATGCTATTCATCGGGAAACATTCCTTAAAAATTTGAAATATCTCATTTTCTCCCGCACAGCCGACCACGCATAACTTTTTTCCTCGGAGCCGTTCTTGGTATCATAGGGTGCGTCTTGACCGGCTATTTGACGTACAAATGGGACCTGTTATTTTCTCTCACTCCTGGGACTGCAGACATAGGGTAAGTGTCTGCTGCTTATCCATCGGGTTATGTTTCACGCTTTAAGATGCAGACAGAACAACTTCTTTGAGTCTAATGAAATGGAAATGAAGAAAAATAAAGTTATATATTCACCTGAACTCTAAGTTATTTAGCAAAGAAATTTATGGCAACAGTAGCACAACACTGAACATTTTGAGGGGTTATATTATCTTTAAAAAGGTGTGGCGGGAGATCGTCACATAGTGTTGTAAAAAACTTCTAAATAATTAAGTCGTTTTCACAATTTTAAATTGAGGCTCATCAGCCTGCTTTCGGTGACATACAAAATATTTACCAAGGTAATTTCAAATTGAATAAAAAACACTTAACTTCAACCAACCTAAAGAAAGAGCTGGGTTCAGGAAAGCCTATTCTGCGATAGATAACACAATCGTAATAAATTATGTAATAGAAGAGGCTCCTGAATACAACAAGCCTCTTTATTTAGCCTTCATAGGCTATGAAAGAGCAGGCCCCTCAGTAGGGTATCTGCATTTTTAAAAGCACCAAGTAGGCAAGCAGTACCTAAGTCAGATGTCAATAGTTTAGCCGACTGCTACAAAGACTCCAAGGCTACCTTTCTTCTGCACACGAAGGCGTTAAAACAGCGATCAAAAAAGGAATCAAATAAGGAAATACAATATTCCCAATGCTGCTCTCTGCGTGATTTGAGGAAGTGTTCAGAGCACTTGACTGAGAAGAAACAGGAATCAAAGTTAATGAAGAATGACTCAACAACCTATGACTTGCAGATGATGTAGTGCGCTTCGGTAACAATATCAATAAAAGGGAAAAAAAGAAACGTATATACGCCCCCAATCTAGAAATTGGTATAACATGAAAGTGAAACGTGTCAACACATAGGTAGTTCAGCATTTATGGTACATTGTTTCAGCAACAGCAACAAATTTTTAAGTCACGTGAAGAACGGCAAGCAGCTCGAAACTTGGACCGAACAGCTCAAGCAGAAAACACGCACGAAATTAGCATACGCAAAACAAGCGCTGGGTACAACTGTTGCAGCTCGACACTTCAAGCACGCTCTTCAAAGAGAAATACGCTCAAAACGAGCATATAAGTATACACAGGACAGCGTGAAGAACTGTCACAATTCTTTCTTTGTCGTGTGCCAGCAGTGCGCTCTTTTCGTAAGCGCGGCCATGGCAGCGAGCGAAGTAACCTTTGTCGACTCCTTAACTGTGAGTCTGATAAGCATGCGCGCAGGAGAGACCACGCTTCGTGGATATGGTGCTTCGTGGACGCGGCGACCTTTATAGTGCGCCCTACGCAAACCCGTCGTGCCATCTCGTTACTGATAACAAAACGCGCGAGAGTTTCGTAGCTCTGAGGACTGCCAAGCGGCATATGCTGTATTGAGTGACTTGCCGTTAGCACCCTTGACAACGTTCGCTCCATGGTCTAGTGTAAAGGCCCTCCACGCGTTTTCCGCCAGCTAGGTTAAGTAGCGTCAACTCGTTCTCCCCTTTTCCCTTTACACCAGTTCTTTTACCAGCGGAAGCCGAGGTGCTGCCATGATGTTTATGCTGCTTTTCTGGTTCATGGACCCACCTCATATATGTAGTGGCTAGGATGTACTATACTTTATGCAATGCACCCCATAAATAAGGTGAAGTAAAGAAAGCTTACACCACCTGACGCACCCACCCCGCCTCGTTCATGCTGTCCTTCCGCTCGGCTGTCGACCGTGACGGGCAGCCTGGTGCGCAGCAGCGAGGAGGCATTCCTCGCGAGCTTAGAATGAAAATCAAGGCAACACTCGTGGTACGAAGCAGAAAATATTTACTTTCTCACGTGTGCAGAAATAAGATGGAAAAAAAAAGCGAAAACAGGTGGCTCAATAACTTTCTCTCGGAAACTCTGGAACCTGAACTAGGCGGCGGTGATGGAAACAATGGTTGGCGCTACTTAAAAAAGTGGCAGTAGACGCGATAGAGGAGCTTTAGGTTAGCGCAGCACGCTGTGAAGCGAGAAGTTGCTGGTTTAACACCAAGTGACGGAATCTTTCCTTCTTGTTTTTTTTCTTCGCAATCTATTGCTATATATCTCACAGTGTCATATTCATAAATGAAATACGTCAGTAGAGCCGTAGTGGGCCCCGGCATAAAACAATTTCGTGTTAAAAAAATGATCCAGGAATGAAACAGGAAAAGTAGAAAAGTACGCCTAAAATGGTTAGTATGAAGACAAAGACAGCGCTGAATAACCAGATAGAATAAAAATAGCTTAAGATCGAAAACCATACATTGCAGTGTATGCAAGTGCACCCAGCATAGCGATAAAATGAGAGCCTAATCCCGAAAAGGCAATGAACCAAAAGATAAGAATCGGCTAGAACGCATTCGGCAGCCACTCCCAAATAATGTCAGGAAGTCTACCATTTAACTAAAGTGAGAAGTATAGGGCCGCTACATGCTGCCAGTTCTCACATACAGGGGTGAAACATTGAGGATAACAAAACTAGCTAAAAAGTTGAGAATCACGCAGCGGGCAGTCGAACGTAACATGATAGCAATAACATTATGAGATCGTAGTACAGCAGAAATTGTAACAGAACAGACAGGAGTTGCAAATATTCTAGCTGATATATAGCGAGAAAATGGAGCTAGGCTGGCGACGTATTGCGTAGAACAGACAACCAGTGAACAGGAGTAGCAGCAGAGTGGTTACAAAACGATGGGAAACGCACTTGGGGAAGGCAGAGAGCTGCTGTAGGGGCGAAATTAACAAGTTCCCAACGATAACATAAAAGCAGCTCGTACACTATATATAGGGTGAATTGTAGATCATAAGATTAGCCTTTGTCCTGCAGTTGACTAAAATTAGCTGACAATAATTATGATGATGGTGATGATGATGATATGGTGGCCGCCGGAAAATAAGAGTGTTTTTGTACTGCTAATTAGGTACAAAACCAAACACGTGCAAGCCATAAATGAACCGCTCCTGGTGATAAGTGAAAGTACGTCACCAAATTAACATGAGACCAACAAAAGACAGAAAAGAACGTGAGGTAGAAACGACCAAAAACGACGTTTAAAGTTCACATAGCCCACTCCCAAAACTGACTTGATTCAATCACAAGACTCTGGTAGTCCACACTCAAAACATCACTGCCCAATTTCAAAACTTCCTATATTCAACACCTACCTGGCCCATTCCCAAGCTTCACTCTAATTCCGAAATTCCTCCCCCTCCCTTGCTGTGAACCTAGTTTGCAGACAACTAAAATTGGACCGCTTATCCCGAGAACCTGGGTGGCCCACAGGCGAAAAATATGACTCTGCTCAATTAGAAAATTTAGTCAATTCACGTTCAAAACTGACCAGGGCATCTCCCGAAATTCGGATAGCCCACCCTCAAAATTTCTATCGCACAATTTTAGCACAAGTGATCACGTAAGATGACATGGTCCCGAGAGCAATCTAAAATCTTGAGTTGCATGGTCACATGACTGAGTGATGACGCCACGTGACATGGATGTTGTACTCGGATGAACGTCGATAATGTCGGCAAGACATGATCAGACCAGCCAGGTTTGGTTGGCCATGCTAGTTTTCTCCGTGTGCCTTTGTGCTCCGCACTGCTTTCGCACTCAAAGCACGTAATGAGACTTAGGTCCCTTTGTATCTTTTTATATTTGCTTTACTTGACCTTGTTAGCCCCTGTTCCTAATTCACACGTGCGTGGTGCCGGTTCGTAGAGGAACACCGTGAGTTGTCATGGTAGTAGCTACGCGATGAGGCCTGTTGGCACGCCGTTTAATAAATTAGCCAACTTCTCTTTCGATTGCTCCACTGCGTACTCCACTGCGTTTCCGTTGAGACAGCAGGTAATTTTCGGCTGATCTTGAAACGAGATTTAAATTCCCTGTGTATTCATAGCCAAACAATCAGCTCACATTTTCACAGAAGCCTTGCTACACTTAGGTAACATGTTATACGTTCATGCTTCGCAGAGCTCACTGAACTCATCCATGCCGTTGTAGGCTTCTTATGATGTTGTAATTTCTGAAAGTGACCTCAGAGAACGCAAAATAATATCCCTCACTACCACCATCATCATAAGACATTCAACTGCAGCATGTTTTACGTTCACTCTAGGACAAAGGCCTCACTCAGTCATCTCCAGATTACTTCCCAATAAACTCCCAATAATTCGAACGCGTCGGTATCCACAATTGTTCCAACTTGTAGCCTCTTGGCGTTCATTGCTACTCGTAAAAGTTTGCCCAGAGTGATCACAATCTGTAGCAAAAACAAACCAAGCTTATCAGATATGCAACACAACAAAACAGCAATATATCAACGCAAATGCTAATGCCGACATTGCCCTGAAGCTCTTGGGCGAGCTGAAAACTATTCGTGAATCAATAACAGAAGATGCGCAAGCAAATGAAAATTACTGATTACTTTTATTTTGATTGCGTTAACTCTTCCTTGTAAATAAACATGTTTTGGAGCAGAAAGAGCGTCGTGTATTTTGGCATTAAGAGTCACTGCAACCATGAATGAATGTCGCTGCTTGTTTTGGCCGTTTCACTGATTGATCAATTAGTTAGAGTTTCATGAAAACAATGCGTGGTATCACCTAGCACAAACGGGTAGCTTCTAAAAAGCTTTTATTGTAACATTCATAGTGTGTACTCAAAATGTATGCAAGTTCTGACATAATGCAGTAGCCACTTTCACTCACGTGCTCTGAGATTCGTGACGAATACCCATATTGTGGTAATTGTAATTGTAACTAAAACCCACAACGTCAACTTAAGTGCGTATAAATATAATTTTGACAATTTTCTAGCTCACTTGCACGTTGACACATAACGTCGAAAGCGCAGAAAGTTTCATTCATACAAAATGCTATCTCTATTGATCAAATTGACTTATAGTCTATGCACTTTGCTCTGGTCGCGTTTTCCCGAAGTTTACACGGGGTGCCCCCGCTATCTTTAGCCATAGCTTAAAAATACGTTGACACATGCAATTGTGACGCGACGTGATGTTGCTGAGCCTCACCTGAAGTTAGACTATTTTTTGTGTTCTGAGGTATTGTTTAATTACATCTGTTTAATTAGCTAACATTGAAGTAACGAAGATGGGCAAAAACTTTAAATGAGAAAGTTGTAGATTGGTTAGCAAAACGTCCGATTGAACAGTTTTGAACTTTATACCTGGTAATTATTAGTGTTTTTCTGCTAACTACAAATAACTACGAAATACAAAAAATACCATATGACAAACATGCTCGCACGCCAGTGCACACGATGATTCTTGTGCGTTCCGCGTACGAATAATGACCTTCAGATTAACACGTTGTCGGTGAACCTGAGTACATATGGCCGTTCAGCGTTCGTTTTACAAAACATAAATTGGAGTGCAATATGCCGCTACAAAAACATTCAGTTGAGTTTTATAATATGGAGTCCTCTGAACCTTGTTAGACTTCAGTGAATTTTCGCGCCCAGACTTATTTTATGTATCAATTCCTATTTTCTTGTTTTTGTGTGTAATTACTTTTTTTGTGTGTGCAGCATGAATGCCCAAACGCAATACTTTCTATTTAAACAAATAATTGAATGGAGAAAACGTTTATTTTGAGGATGGAAAAGACGCTTACGTGATAACTGAAATATGTGCTGGGATAATAAGCAAACAGACTAAATGCGAAAACTGCAATATTTTTATTTTTTTACATTTACACTTAGCTTAAAAGCCAGTGGGGAATCTGTAGTGCATTCCTTGTTTATTATTATTGCTGGGATGAACAAGGTGGCAAAAAGACTTACTGCAGCATTAAAAATGAACATGAAATAAGATCTTGTGACTATTTCGGCTTTTGGAAAGTACCAAGCGGGCCCATTTATCTTCGATTGCATTTGTTTCGGATACTGCATCGTTGGCAATCTCCAACATTCCTTTCAGTTCACAGCTCTTTGTGTTGTTCTGTCTTTTTATCCAGCAAGGTTTTGGATACAGCTGAATACATCCACTTTAAGCCTTTTGCCCACGTTCCTAGCTACGTGAGTGGAATGTTCTGTGGATACCTTACTGTGCGCTACAGGAATGCACAAATTTCGAAGGTGGGTATTGTTGTATACCTCAGGCTGTGTTACTATAATAAATACTTTTGGCACTCTAAATGTGCCACAAGCTCGATCAGCTGTTATTTCTCAAAGCCTATAAAGTATACATTTTCTTGAGAGTTTACCGTCATTAGGCAATGGTAAAGATTGCTCGAAAAAGCGGCTTTTCTAGAGTCAAGACACATATGACGCAAGCGCTAAACATTGTTAAATACCACTACTTCAATTAACTTGGTCGATAAACTTAAGAAAAATGCTTAGTTAGTCAACTTGATATAAATTACATCAATGCTTTGTTTAGCATAAATATACAGCTGTGGCAGGTGCCAATGAGTATGGAATAATGTAATTCTTATTTAGCTAGACCTAACACATGAACTTTAAGCAAAAGTGTACATGCGGTACTTAAGAAACTGATGTTAGCGCAAAATTCACCATTTAGGCATAGGAAAATGGTTAGCAGGACTACTTGCAATGCATGCGAATGGAAGTTGACCGGTAGGTCTGCCAGTTGTCGAGAATTGTTTTCCACACAGAATGAGTGACGAAAATGAATTGGTGTTTTGGGCAGTTTTGTGCCACGTTAATCATCTAAGGGCTCATGCGAAAAGAGAGAAATAGAAGTTCACTGGTAACTCGTCTCAAGTTAGGATATGATTGCACACAAAAAGGGTCTTACAGTCTGACGATTACTATTCATTTTATGAAGATTACCGCTAAAAGGCTTCAATTAGTCTTGAATCTGCCATAACTGCAGAAAGTTAATTAGTAGGAGCCAACAAAAGCTGACCACAATGCCATAGTATTAGTGGTTCTTTAACTCTACTGACCTGCTAGAAAAAAATTACAAATATTCACCGCCATAAATTAGTTCTTTATTTTATCATCACATATCTAATGAACTTGGACGCTACCATCTCCTAGATAGTGATTGCCCTAGCTGCTGAATTTTAGGAAGAACTTCTTGTTTCTCAATCATTCCTCTTGCTTCTTTTTATTTCATCAGACCATAGATCAATTTAGTGAAGAACAATAAATATATAGTCCTAAACTAGACCATTTCTCTGACACTTGATAAAAATTCTCTACACGCTCGGCTTGCAGCTCATGCAGGGTTGTGCGTGGTTTGCATCAGTCGTGCTCAGCGTGATCGTCATCTATGTGCCCACCCCTTGGAATCGAGGTTACATGCCCACGAAAATGGTCACCGCATTGTACGCCGGTCTTCATCGTGTCGTGTGGTCTCTCCCTTTCTGGTGGCTGCACTACGCATGCGTCACCGGACGTGGCGGTGAGCTACTATTGTCTGTACGGCCACAAAATTGTAGGAAACAGGGGATGTCTCTTTAGTGGTAGCTTTTATTGATTTCTTGGGAGTGTTGATGTTTTGATATGATATTAAGAGAAGGATAAACATGTAAAAGGAGAAGAGTAGAAGGCGCCACAAATGGGCGCCATACTTTCCTTAAATAGATTTGTTTGAAAAAAGTTGCCGTGAAAATCGTTTTGCTCACGTAATACTATTGCTTCAATTTTCGCAACACCGTTTTTTTTGGTCGTCTTCTATGCCACATTTCTTTCATTAGTATGCTTCTATAACATAGGTCATTTAATTGTACTTACCTACTTACCATTTTGAAGCAGCTAAGCTCATATCATGACCATTCAAGCCATCTTCCAAAACTAGTAAATAAAGAAGGTAAATACACATTACGTGAACAGAAGGCAGAAATGTAAGACGACACGAACACTTCATGAACCATGATAAATAATATGTGCTACACAAACTTCGAAAAAACGAGGGACCCGGCTCGAATAGCGAGGACAGTTTTATTTATCAACTTGTACATTCATGCCACAGCACCGCAGGTATAACATCAATTAAGATTAGGGCAGCCACCACACGTTATAGTGTGCAACTGCATCCTAGCGTAAAGATAATTGTTGACAACCAAAACGGCATACTTCACGATGACAAGAACACGTACGGTTGAACATCATGTGTTCAAACCATGGCCAAAGCAATTTTTTCTCAAATTGCGGTAGTGACTTCATCACATCACAACATCTCTACAGCAGCAAACTTTTAACCTCTACTGCTCCTACCTTAGCTCTTCATCACTGCCGTAGCCAAAGGAGAAGGAGGGGGTTCAGACTTCAGACACCCTCCCGCCCCACACACACACTGGTAGCCCATATTTTAGTTGAGATTATTGGAAAGAAGTTTCTTTGCACAGGTGACGTAATGGTTAGACAACGTCACCCATTGTTTAATAAGTTTGGTTAGCACCAAGACGAAAAATGGTACTTTAGGAGAGAGAAAGAAATAGAGATGCAAGAAAAGGCAGGGAGGTTAACCAGACGCACATCCGGTTTGCTACCCTGCACTGGGGAAGGGATGAAGGGGAGAAAAGAGGTTGCAGAGAGATAAGAAGGTACACACAATCACGAGCACACTCGGGGGAGCACACACAGTTCACAGGCGGTCGCCCAGGTTTGTTGTCTTTAAGTGAAGTAGGAGTGCTTTAGTCGCTTTCTGCACAATCGAGGCAGATGCCCAAGGTGCCAGAATTTCCTGCACACAGAATGGTCTAGAGTCAAGTTGATTCAAAACCATCCGGAGCTGGCGTCGCTGGGTGTCGTAGCAAGCGCAGCTGCACAGGACGTGTTCAATGATCTCTTCAGCTCCGCGGGAGTCGCATGCAGAGGTGTCTGCCGTACCAATGCGAAAGGAGTACACCTTAGTGAATGCAACACCCAACCAAAGGCGGCATAACAGTGTCGCATCAGAGCGGAAAAGTTGTGATGGTATCTGTATCTTGAGCGAAGGGTTCAGTTCATATAAGTGACACCTTCGGAAGCTAGTAGACGACCAGAACGTACGTGTAAGATCTCGAGCCAGCAAGTGAGGCTGTATTGCTGCATCAGTCCTTGATAGAGGAATAGGGACCACATGAGTTCCTTCATGGGCTGAGCAGGCTGCATCATCGGCTAATTGATTTCCGGTAATACCGATATGTCCAGGCAGCCATCGATATATAATGCCATGCCCTCGTGCTAGAGCTTCATGATGGCAATGTCTTATTTCATGAACCAATTGTTCATGATTCCTCCTACGCATGGCAAACTGGAAACTCTGAAGTGCCGCCTTCGAATCACAGAATATGACCCATTTTCCTGGACGCTCTTGAATGAGATATTGTGAAGCAGCTCTTATACAGCAATCTCTGATGCCATAGATGTAGTCATATGCGACAACTTAAATTTGATTGTCATTGCTGCAGCTGGAATTACAGCGGCACCTAAGAGCTGCTGGACGAGACGGACCCATCAGTGTATATCTGCGTTCGGTCTAGGTACAACTCATATAATAATATCAGTATTGCTTGCTTCAATGCTACTCTGGAATGATTGCTTTTCTTTTTGATACACGCAATTTCTAGACGTACTTGCGGCTCGTGGAGGGACCACAAAGGACATGCAATTCTCGTAGCTGGCGTTTATGCTGATGGAATGCTGCTTAGGTACTTGGCTATGACGTCTGAAAACGTAGCACGTGGTCTTTCGGAGGGTAGAAGGGCCAAGTGGTGGTCGGAGACACGGCTAGCATGTCGAATGTGTGCTCTGAGGCAAACCACAACTCTATATGTCCTGACCGGATGGTCTTTGGCAAGCACGATTGTGGCATAAGTAGAAGCGCATCAGGCAGTCCTAGGCAGATACGCAGCGCCTGACCCTACAAACTATCCAATAAATGAGTAGTGGATTTGCAAGTGTTAGTCAGTACCGGCCAGCTGTAGCGCAATAGACCCAGAAACAGGGCCCTGTACAGCTGTAGCATGGAGGCCACAGAAGTTTTCTTGCTTTCCCGCACATGAATTTCACTATATGCACAATAGATAGCTGTCTCTTCTTCAAGTACGCACAATACGGGCTCTACGAAAGACTTCTGTTGATTATTATGCTCAGGAAACTATGCGTCCGTGCATATTTGACACTCTGCCCATTGATGTAAACAGATTATGGCGTCATTGGTTTGCGTGTACACGCAATCAACGCGCACTTCACAGTTGATATAGTCAGGCCTTGTTTCTGAAGGTAGGCTGTTGTGAAGGTTGCTGCCCGCTGTATTTGTGCATGCACCTGAGGGCGAGTAACTGCAGCACTCCAAAGGCAAATATCATCGGCGTATACGGATAGGCACACTGACTTTGGCAGAACCTCCGCCAGGCCAATGAGGGTGACATTGAACAAGGTGGGGCTTAAATCCCCTCCCTGAGGTACTCCGCAGTAGGTGTAATGTTCCGTAGTTTTACCTTCACCTGTTTGCACACAAAAAAGCCTGCCATTTACATAATCTTTTATTCATTGAAACATTCGTCCACCAATGCCCATTGCTGCGAGAGAAGCGAGGATGGCATCTTGAGCTACACTATCATATGCACCCTTCACGTCAAGAAAGAATGCCACTGATATAGGCTTGTGACTTTTTTCTTGCTGAACGAATGTCAATACGTCAAGGACACAGTCGATGAAGGAGCGGCTCCGACGGAAGCCTGCCATGCAGTAAGGGTTCTTGGTGTATTGTTCCAAGTACCACTCGAGACGAAATACAACCATTCTTTCCATCACTTTTCCGAGGCAGCTTGCGAGGTCAATAGGGCGATACGCTGTCAAGTACAATGGTGATTTTTTCAATTTCAGAAGTTGTATTGATCGACTTATTTTCCATTCTCGGGGAACACTCCCGCTGAGCCAGGAGTTGTTGAAACATGTTAAAAGTTCTCTTCTGGCTTTTTGTACAAGATGTTCCAACGCACTATAAGTAATACCATCAGGACCTGGTGATGACCTTTCCATCATGAACGATGGTGCCCTAACATATCGGCGGGGTCCCACGTATGGCAGTTGCCTTGACCTGACATTGGTATCACGGGGCTTCTCTCACAAAGCTAAATAGTTTTGCGGTATTGAAACTCATGGGAGTGATCACATACCCACCTACGTGAAGACTGATACTATCAGAAATTTTTTTATCAGGTGTTGTAATTGGCACTGACTGGTCGATGTTTACATCGCGTGTTGAAGACGCTTTTCAAGAAGGCCCTGCCTGCAGCCTGGAAAATACCATCGCGGAAGCTATGCAAGCCTCCAAATGTAAATTATCATTTTGTGTAAAATAACACAGTTCGACATCGAACTGGAAAGATTACGAGCGATACGAAGGCGTGCTGAACGACGATACAGACGCACAAGATCAATTTACGACCTGAGGGAAGCAAGATGGCTCCAGAAAAATATTCAATGAAGCATTGAGAAGCTGGAGAGCGAACGCTTGAAAGCATCCTGCGAATCTCTAGACCCATATAAACCGCTGTCATATATCTGGAGAACAGTTCGTGCTCTTCGCTCCTCTCCGCAACAATGGCACACTTTTAAAGTTTTGGCACTCCATCATGGAAAAAGAGAACTCGAGGTGGGTGAAGAATTTTGCACGAGAGTTGCCGGGAATGTTATGAACGAGAGCATTGACGCCGTGATAGTTCCCGAGACGCGATTACCAGAAATAGACATTCCATTCACCATGGAAGAACTAAAAGGTGTGTTAGTCGCTTCTAAGCGTAGTTTAGGAGCACCTACATAAAGTAATACCATGAAATCATGTAGGATAAGGATAAAGATACTGCAAGCTAGCGTAGCAAAGTGCAATTAGACACTCCCGGGTTAGGTCTACATCCTGAAGTGGTCATAAAACAGGATGACCATGGCAGTAGAGGTGGTCGTCGTCACAATAATAATAATAATAATAATAATAATAATAATAATAATAATAATAATAATAATAATAATAATAATAATAATAATAATAATAATGATAATAATAATAATTTATTGTTATCATATTATTATTATTATTATTATTATTATTATTATTATTATTATTATTACTACTATTATTATTATTATTATTATTATTATTATTATTATTATTATTATTATTATTATTATTATTATTATTATTATTATTATTATTATTATTATTATTATTATGTGATGATGACTGACGGATGCAGTGCCTTGAATCATTCAGTGTGGTTCACTAATTGTAATTCATTGTCATTTCACAGGGTCTCTAAATGCCTTCTTGTCCTCGAGAGTGTTCCAAGTGCTCGGGCGGCTTGTGTATGGCACGTATTTAGTTCATTTTCCTTTGCTGTTAGTCCGCATCGGAATCATCAAGACGCCTCTTCAAGCAGAAGAATTTTTCCAGGCAAGTATTATTTAGTGATGTCTAGTGGTTGCGTGATAGCATACACTCAAGTGTGTGGGCTTAGACCAGCATGATCTATAATTGCCAATTCAAGTTCGTTTCACTGCCGCACAAGTTATAACGTATGTTCTATGTAATGCTTCTCGGTCTCGCGTTTACGTTATCTCATCAGCTGTCACTTCTACAGAGTACTGGTAGTAGTAGTAACGAACGTTATAAAAATTTGATGTATCCTTAAAAAATATAAAATGCACCATAGTAAGTGAATCGAGCAATATCAAATGAATTAAAACAACTCATGACGTCATCTGCTTGGGCGGTAAAGAACAGTAAAGGTTGATGCAGAATTACTGGCTAAAGAGAATCACGTCTTATGATCACGAAATGGGGAAAATCTATGCTTGAGAGTACTTGCGCGCGGTGAACTTTTTGGTTGTTTGGTAGATTCGGTGCATGCTGTTGTTACTAGGAATCGACTGGCCGTTACACAGTAATTCTACAATGTAGAAGACGAGACGAAAACAGGAATCAACACTATCTTCTCTCTCCTGTAGTCGTCATCCTACTTAAAGTGCTGCAACTTTCAACTTTCACAGCTTATTGGAATTCCCGTTTGCATCACGTGCGAAGCCACTGTTTATCTACCCTGAAGTACACATCACTGCTCTCTTCTTTAAATGCGCAGCTTTTGTTTGAGTACTAAAGACACTTGTGCCAATACTATCTATCTATCTATCTATCTATCTATCTATCTATCTATCTATCTATCTATCTATCTATCTATCTATCTATCTATCTATCTATCTATCTATCTATCTATCTATCTATCTATCTATCTATCTATCTATCTATCTCTCTATCTATCTATCTATCTATCTATCTATCTATCTATCTATCTATCTATCTATCCTTTCTCTGACATTATCCAGCATGGGGTCTTTTTCGAAAGCAGTTACGAAGATCTGCCATGGTTTGGTGGTAGACTACCGGACTGCCATATACACTGCTTGGGTTCAATTCCTGCGGAGATCTTCATTTTTATTCTTTACATTAAACGCTGCGACTGCCGGATTTTCTCGACGCTCACGCATTTAAATTGCACATGTCTGTTACTGCCATTCCTGGGTAGATATGAACTGTGAATCACAAGTGGCACATACCCGCATACTGCTGCCCGTAGTGTACGAGTATGCGCCACGGATGTCTGGAGGGAAGGTTTTGACGGCGTACGCGACAGGATATTCCCGTGATTCATGTCATGAACAAACAGTCATACTAGTTAAATCCTCTTGATGCATATGAGGGGCTTAACGTACCAAAATCACCATATGATTATGAAAGACGGCGTAGTGGTGGGCTCCGGAAATTTAGACTACCTGGGTTTCTTTACCGTGCAGCCAAATATTAGCACGCGGGCCTACATCATTCTCGCCTCCAACGAAAATTCAGCCGCCGCAGCCCGAATTCAATGCCGCGACCTGCAGCGGGTCACAAGCCGAGAACCTTAGCCACTAGACCAGAGCGGCGGGGCTAGTTGAACCCTCTTATCTTCTCTTAACACTTTTTGTATACAACCAGTTAAAAATATGATCACAAGAGCACCCAGACGTATAAACGGTTTGATAGATACCTAAACAGAAACGCTTAAAACTGATTAGCAGACAGATCCTTCGAATTTGAAAATAAGGAAACAAGGAATGACTAGAATGACAAGAATATGTGTTTCATTGTATTGTATGCGATCACGGTTATGCTTCACAACTGTAACGACTTTCTAACCATAGGGCTAGCGTACGGTTACGCACACGACCACGTAGACCACTGAAAAATAAGCAGAATATATGAACTGCAGCATTTCTCTCAGTTCAATACATAATTAGGCACAAAGTATTAACATTGACCTAGTCAATAACATGTGGGGTAAGATGAAGTTATGGGTGATTTAAAGGTGGCATTTGAGTTAGGCCAACATGAATGTAAGAACCGGCGTGATGCAAGTTACATGCATAATCAACTTAGGCATCCAGACGCGCTGTGCAGATAGGGGTTGTGTCAGCTACACTGTGAAAGCAGGCTCGATTTTGCGGTATTGCCAAAAGTAGTAGCAGGTCAGATCACAAAGCGTGGAACTTTATACTCTTGTGCTACTCACTCCAAACGCTTGGCGGCACCTGAAGTACAAAAAAAAAAATGTAAAAGAGATGTTGAACGTATTAGTAACATATGTTACTAATACGTTCTAATAATAACTGTTAGTAACTGTTACTAATAGTAATTGAGGCGTTACTCATAATGAAGTGGTGATGGCGATGTCAATCACCAGAAGGCCCATGAAGTAGAGTATTGCATTGGGTTTGATACATGTAGGAAACCGCAAAAGCTAATAATATCGAGTTTTTTCTGTCCCAAAACTACAATCTGATTATGATAGACCTCGTGTGCTCCGGAATCACGTCGCGGCACAGCACACGGGCCTCTATAATTATAGCTTCATTGAATTGCAACTGCCGTGGCCGGGATCGAACCGGGGACCTTCGGGTCGGCAACGAAGCACCATAACTACTGCTCCACCGTGGCGGGCTAACCGCAAAAGTTTACGCACCCGTCGAATGTGTGGCCATTTGCCTGTCACAAACAATTCGCATCTCTCGTATAACGCGACGTTCTCTTCGGCAGCCGTGCCCCGCCGCAGTGGTCTAGTGGCTAAGGTAATCGGCCGCTGACCCGCAGGTCACGGGATCAAATCCCGGCTGCGGCGGCTGCATTTTTGTTGGAGGCGATAATGCTGTAGGCCCATGTGCTCAGATTTGAGTGCGCGTGAAAGAACCCCAGGTTATCAAAATTTCCGAAGCCCTCCACTACAGCGTCTCTTATAATCATATGAAGGTTTTGGGCTGTTAAACCCCACATATCAGTTAATCTTCGGCAGCCGTGACTACGTGCTCATGTGCATATGTGTGCGTAGAGTTCGCATCAGGGGGAAGGGGGGCGAAAGCTCATAACTACGCCTGTCTCACCCGTGCACACCATTAGGTCAATCTATGGGACAGATTTATTTCGCACATACCCCTCCTCTTAGGAAACTAGTAGGGCAGCTGCACGCCCCCCCCCCCCCCCGTGCACACGCCTATGCTTATGTCTCTAAAGCAGTTTATCCGTATAAATGTCATCAGTCCCAATCAAAGTAGAAGTGTGAGGGCCAATGTGGCAGATGAGCGCTTCGTGAGAAAACCACGATGTAACGTCGGGCAGCATAGCAGTGTCCACACTGATATGGCGTGATTAATAAGATTGATTTCCAGCCTAAGGCGGTGGTCGACAATGAGCATGCACCAGTTTTGTGCTTGGCTGTGCGTATAACGTATGGAGTACAGTACTTAACTTGACGGTACAAGCACACACCATGGATGTTTCTCTCCTCATTCAATGCCTCGTTTCAATGACGTTATCTTCGAATTTTAGTATACGTGAATATATGCCGTTCCATCTTTCTCACTCTTTCGTTCCAGACATTAGAGTTCATTGGCATTTCTGTGCTGAGCATGACGCTCGCGTTGCTCCTGAACATCACATGCGAGTCCCCCATTGACTCGCTTGACAGAATGGTCTTCCGCTCGTTCGACAATCGGATCTTGAAAGAACTCAACAATTCCACGGCCGTGAAAAAGCCTCCCCTGCCAGAGATCATCGAGAACAACCACGAAAAGTCTCGCCTGTAAACACGAACAGTCTTCAATTGCCGCAAATTAAAATTGAACGAAGTTCGTTCTCTCCTTCCTCTCCGAGTGCTTTAAACTGTCAGTGGCAACTCTTGTATGAAGACGTTATGGGTGAAACATTCGACGTACATAAAGAGTGAAGGCTATAGAGATCAATATGAAACAGAGAATACAGGTGGTGCTGAGCATCTATCGATCCCTTTGCCTTGTTGTCTCTGCTGTAATAAGAAGGAGGCGAAGGCAGAGGGAAGTCCTAGAATTGAAAATTTGCGTAAGCTTTGAAAAGAAAGAATTGACGCCGAAATGTTGCTCCCCTACCCTGTGTACATGTTATTAACTATACAGCATGTTGAAACTAGTTTGTGCTATACTCATGAAGAAACGTTATCGTAATGACGAATCGCTGGCCCTACTGCCTTATAGCTAAGCTTTTAGAACTCAATTTTTCAATGTATTGCGGAATAATAACAGCAATGCAATTATTCCGATAGCAATTATGCTACATTTTGGTGTATTTTGCCATCACCATCATGTTCTGTATAAAGTTCAAATCGAGAACATCACCCTGCCTGTCATATCTTCTACTCCAGAGGTCTCGAGCTTATCCTAGCTAGCGGACTGCAGTCATGAAATCATTTCCGCAAAGTTGGGATAGCAAAGATGGTGAGAGCGGGGGCAGGGGGAGGGGGGGTCGGAGCAAGTTTCACGAAATGTCACTTAGTGTAGCCATTCGAAAGAACGCCTTTCCTATATGCCAGTCTTTAGACATTTCTGAAGGTGATTGGACAAGGTGATTCGAAAGCGATATAGATATTAATTTTCACATCTGAACATCGATTTTCAAATATGGCTTTTGTTACGTGGTGATGTTTAAACTCAGGCACCTCATGCATTCACGTCATGGTGACCGCATGAGGTGCCTCACGAAACAAAAACATATACCAGTCTCATCTTTATATAGCTTGCCCATCAAAGCGCTATTAGCGAGGAAGATAATGCCAGCACTGTTCCTTCAAGCAACTAAGCATTTCTCTGTGTCAAGCCGCTAGCTAAAGGTCCACAGGCCTTACATTTCAGACACCTGTTTCGCGTGATAGTAAATAAGCGTGACTATTTGGAACGAACGCAGCTCAATCTGAGATGAAACGAGCCGGTCATCTCCGTGGCACATAGGGCGCATCTGATAACATCGTCCCACGTGCCAAGCCTGCCATCGGTGACTCCTCAAGCAGAGAGGAAGCGCACCCATCATTCATGGGGAAAGGGAGTATGAACGCGTGCCGGTGGGAATGAAACTGAGTCACTCCAGCAGCAGCCTTCGATCTTTCGTCATAAGCGCGCAGTTCCGAGAGCTCGCACGTGTACTACACCAATAAACATAAGCAACAGGCTCGTACGCTGTGATCTCCCCGCTTACTTGGCGTTGAGACGACAGCCAGTACGAAAACCACTTCATGGGTTGGAACGGCAGAATTGGCACCAACACTTCGTAGTCTCATGCCACATCGGCAGTAAAAGAGCAAGCTGCTAACTTTAATTAGTATACTAGTTCTAGTACTGGTACTAGATTTCACGCGAAAGTTCGTGCTTTCCGTATTCGCCGCCATCACTGGTTCGACTTATGTATCTCATTTATTCAAAATGTCATTCTGAATTTTCATTAAACAATAATATATACCAATTATAAAAAAACAATTACACACCTTACACTAGCGTCTAATTTCATTCCACGTAAGTAGCTTAGAATATTATACCAACACCACCTAGACTACTAGTCTAGGTGGTGTTGATTCTGCTAGCTTCAATGTTTATTTGCCTTGCGCACCAGTTGCGACATTGGATAGGCGGACTCTCTCACCAAGTGGCACCAGCGAAGGATTTTTTAAACTAATGACTGAAAGCAAAATCGTGAACAAGGAACAAATGCTCACATACCAGCAGCAGTGAAGTGCTATTACCAGTGAAAGGTATTGGGCAATGGCAAGCTGATGCCTTTGAACTGTAGTAAGTTAAGAGCCATTCAGTAAATGGTGCCGGGAAACTATATTACCACCCCTTTTACTTGTACATTTCCATTGCTTCATCCGCACGTTTAATTTGTTTTAAGAGGTAGCAGTATGTGTCCACGAAAAGCGATCGGCATTGTGTTCCGGCAACGAATCTCGTTTAGTTCTTTATAATCAAGCGCGCACGAATGTTAGAAGGTGACATAAGCCGAAGAAATCTAACATAATTGTGGTGTGGCAGTGGACAAGCGCACAGAACTTTTATCTTAGCGCCAAGCGGATCCAACTCCGTTTCCAAGTTGTTGAGTGACCATACAAATGTCTTATTCTCGATATGAGGCATGCAGTCGCAGATCACTATCACCGACTGTGCTCCATCTCCCACATTATCTAATTTCTCTTTGTGTGACTCACCACCTTGTCCCTGAAGGCCCCATGGTCTCTCTATATATAGCTTAAAACATGACCATTACAGAATTCGGCAATATTGCAGAATTGGACACTCGCACAAGTTTTTCGCACCAAGAAGATGAGAGGGAGGTGCATTAGCGTTCCATCGTTGTTTACGTTACGCAAAAAGAAGCCCCTCTTAGATACGGCCACGTAAACTGTAATGTTCTTACTTAATCGATGTTTTCATAGACTGCTGTTCGCATACACGTGTGCCTTTGGTTGAGGTATTCCGGAAAAAATCTCTGGAAAGGTGACACATCTTGGTATTACTATTAATATTATTATTAATATTATTATTACTATTATTATTATTATTATTATTATTATTATTATTATTATTATAAGGCTTCAGTTTATGTATTTATATTTAGTTCAACTGCCACTCCTATTCCGTCGAACTAGAGATACAAGTGACTATATACCTTCTGTTTCGTAGTGGCACACTCTCACTGCTAAATGACTTTGGTGTTTTCATTGCAGTATCAACTAAAATTTACGTAATGAATAATATAAATTTCAGATGAGACTGCTTGTGTGATGAAGTAACATCGAATCACCACTGGCCTGCTGCCACGTAAAAAAATAACACCACATCCACGAAAAGAATGATGACGCAGTAAGGCATGCCGACGCAAAAGACCATACAGCACTCTGCACCCCCAAGAAAAATCCTAAAAGTCATTCAAAGGTTAACCTGGTTTTAACCCATAACGCATCGGTACCAAACGTCACATCCATTTTCCGTAAACACCACAACAAACTTATGCACAGCGAATGCCTTGTAAAAGCGTTTCCAGAATCACTACGTGTTGTGTACAGACGAGGCAAAAATTTGCGAGATTTATTTATTTCCTCTAAAACCAGACAGAGCAATAACGTCCATACGCTTGGTTGCTGTCCTTGTAAAAAGCCCCGCTGTAACGTGTGTGCACACATGACCACAACAACACTGGCAGCCAGTACTGCGACGAACTTCAAGTTCAAAATTAAGGGCCATTTCACTTGTGATACTGCAAATGTCGTATATTTGCTAGAATGCTCAATCTGTCATGTACAATACATAGGTCATACTGAAACTGCTTTTCAATACCGTTCCAATAATCATAAAGCTCATGTGCATGCCCTTCCTAATTTACCAATTTCAAGGCGAGTCACCGAGGCAGGACATTCATGCAGTAACATGATAGCTACAATACTGGAATAGGGTCTTAAATCACACCATGAACGCGAAGTAAAAAAGTCATTTCTAAATCATAAATTCAAAACACTATCGGCCGGCATGAACGAGAGCCCGGGTACGCTTACTGGCATATTGCCTTAGCAAATCGCTTTTTTTGTTTTACTGACTAGTGTATATTCTTTGCACGATGTTGGCCTATTGTCAAATATTACCTATATAATGTAGGTGGCTTTTGTCGCTTCACCATTTTACTCGCATTCATTTTGCTCTGTTTGCTTTTTGATTTTGTTCATCTCTCTACACTTCTTTTTCTTTTTTAAAAGCTTACTGAATGTCCTTAGGCTGTGATTATCCCGCAGAACGTATGACCAAGTGAGCTACTGCGTGCGCAGTTTGTTATTTTGCAGACATGTTTCATTCCTCACAAGTTGTAGGGTATCTAATACGTGCCAATTCACTATTGTACAATAATACTCGTTTTCAGTTGTATATGCACTATAGCCACGTACCTTTGGTGATATATAATCTTGTTTCTTAAACTACTCATAATGACTTAGCCGTGTGATACGCAAAGAAGCGGCTTATATATGTGTGCCCTGTGTGCCATCTGTAACCATTCACTCCGACGAAGGCATATATATATATATATATATATATATATATATATATATATATATATATATATATATATATATATATATATATATATATATATATATATGGTGGGGTGAAATTCATTGGATCCGGTGGAAAATGCCGTAGAAAAGAAGGTCGACAAACGTGCGAAAACACAAGTTTTACTGCCTTTTTTTTACGGCATTTTCCACCGGATCCAATGAATTTCACGAGGAGACGCTCTAGGTGCCGACCAGTGCGGACGCGCGAAGATCGGCTCCTGCTTTCAAGAATGCTTTCCTGTGGTATTCACGAATTTGTCGCCGAGTTTTTACTCTCATCGTGTGCCTAAGTTCTCAAGAAATCAGCAGATACCACCTTTGTGCTGGTGAGTGGACTTTTAAACCGTTTTTTGGGACATTTTTACACGGCAACGCCACCGGGGGATTTAGGCCTAACCAAGTAGGCGATTGTCGCCGATGCGCCGGCCCGGCGCCAACGCGACTCAACGCTCTGCGCGTTCCAGTATCTGCAACTGAGAATGGAATACCAAGTAGATGGAGAGGACATCTCTACAGAGGATTGCACGAAAGAAATGGGTTGGAAGGAAGCCCAAACGAGACGCTCAAGGAATAAGCAAGCCGTGGTTAGCGTTCCTGCTGCCAAGGGTTCGACCGAGGCCGGCGTTGCGGGAGACGCTCGAGCCAGTCGTAGTAGGTATGACACCAAGCATACAATCGTGCGAGCTGGACGCATGCCGCCACTACCTAAGGACTTCAGCAAAATTGTGCTACGACCACGTGCAGG